CCCAGGCGCCCCCCCCCCCCCCCAATTCGAAAACTTCAAAGCAAAAAAAATTAGGCTATAAAAATTATGCTGTCACGGTTAACGTGTATTCGGGAATCTAAGCAGCAATATTTTTCAGTGGGCGTGGCCACCGAAAATAAATTCCACTCCCCCTCATATTTTGGTCGCAGCCCCCACCCCCCATTTTAATACTGCTAGATACGCCACTGAACATGCGGCCCGCATGTTAAGAAGAAATAGTAGGCCTACCCCTAGATGGCCGGAAATGACACTTTTAAATAGTAAAATTCATCATCACATCACTATTATAATATAGGCAAAATGAAGCGCCAAATTCTTATGATCCTTCATCAGCTATTTTCGGCAACCACAGAGATCTAATGTATGATGTACGGTACCATAGAAAATACAACTTAAAAACATGTCTTTGATGCATTTACTTTACCTACTTCAAAACTGTGACTCCACACGCATCTCAGCCCCACCACAGTTGTGGCTGAGGTGGTAAAATTTGGGGAAATTGTACCGGTACCTCTAGGTTGCCGGATATGACACTCTTATGTGTAAAATTCATTATTATCGATCTAATTAATCGGTGTGATGTACCATAGAAAATAAAACTTAATTGTCTTTGATGTATTTACTTTAGCTACTTGCCAAAAATCAATTTCATCTTTGCACGCTTTTTCTCATACTTCTCAAGTTATAATAAAGGCACGCGCACTTGAATATTGTATGATAGGTAATTCAGGGGCGGATTGCTATAAGCGGTCTTCAGACGGTCTTAACGGTTAATTGTGACGTCACTACTGCGCGGTCTAACCAGTTGGCCGTCTTAAATTTTAAAGCCTACTCGGAGAATGCTTAAAACGGTCTTAAATCATTTTCATCATGGCGTTCTGCTGATTAATTCAACAGTGCAATGGCAAGACCTAGGCCTAGATCGTCAAAGTCGGAGAATTGAACGACGAATACTCCGCACGTCACTTCGCAGCGTCTGTAAAAATAGGTCTACGGCGTTTATTTACGTTCATTTCAATACATTTTCGTGCGCGAGCTCTGCGCGAGCACGCATGACGCATGACTTTAGTAAGACCGTCTAAGTGATAAAGTCGGCTTTATTCGCAGGGGCGGAATTAGGGTGGGGGGCCCCGACCCTTTAGAGAGGTGAAAAAAGGGGGAAAAAAGAAAAAAAGAAAGAAAAAGAAAAAACGATAGCCCAGAACGCCTCAAATGTTATTTTCGGGCGTCTAAAACACAGAAATTTCCCCCTATTTCTGTGATGTCTGGATCGCCCAAATTTCGGTCCCCCTTTCGCACCCCCCCCCCTTTTGGACATCTTCGGATCCGCCCCTGATTCGAGAAGTTAAGACTACCAGTTAAGACTGTTTTATAGCAATCCGCCCCAGATGTTTGTGGGCAGAGTATAGGCCCTACAGTATCTTGCTATAAAATAAGATGTACTCTGGCTGTAGGCCTACCGAGTCATTTATGCAGTTTATTTCAATAATTTTCAGGCATATCTTCTTGATTCCCGAAAAGTTAGGGGTACCAACCCTTTCCTCTAAAAAATATGTGGGGGGAGGGGGCGTGCACACAATAAGAGTTAAAGTATGATATACATATAATTAAAATAGATATAAACAAAACTAGGTAAAATATACGGCTTGAAGATAATACCAATAACGTAAAAGAAGCATCCCATGTATACTTAATTATTACCTTTTCCGTCACTTTTATTTATTTACTATTTTTTAAAATTTAATTTCATTTTAAACATTCTGATTTCCGGTAAGACCTGAATACGGCCTAGACCCCAAAACCGCCTCGCCCTGGAACCCATGACTTGTCGTTACGCCATTGCAGCTTTCATCATGGTACTGTACTATGTCTTTTACTTATAATCACATTCAATTGGTATGTTATCACATAAAAATCAAAATAATTGTACAATATTTGGTAAAAACCCATAGATTCTTAAGAGTTTGCAGTCAACACAAACATTTTACTATATTTTCTAAGAATTAAAGTTTTAACATTCTACAATTTAACATACAGTGCTTCTGATACTTAAACATGATAAAGAAGTTACTGGTTTTTTTTTTCCTTTTTCTTTTTCACTTAGCCCTAGGCGACATATACAGATCCAATCAAACATTTGGAAAAAGAATTCAATAGAAACAGCAATCTTTTTTTTGAGAAGATGAATACAAAAGCAGCAAGTTACTTACGGGGCTTCTATTCATATGAACGTAGTTTTAATTTGCGTGTACTGGTGGACGATGAGGAGATTAAAACAGCTTATACAGAAGCAAAGGTTAAAGGGAGACTTCCTTTTAACAGGTCTAAAATCCTCATTTTAGGAGATCATGCTGCAGGAAAGACATCTACATGCAGACGATTGCAAGGAAGGGATTTTCGATATGATGAATCTAGCACCGTAGGAATTGAAACAAATACTGTTAAAGCAAAAGTTAGTAATGTTAATAGTAAGTGGTGCGAAGTATCAAACACACCACTGGAAGATTATGAAAGTTCAGCAGCATGGTGGGCAGTATCGCACGTGCGCAAGATAACCAAGAGTGGAATGTCTAAAACTGACAAGAAACATTGGACCATCGTTGAAGATGTAATTTATCAGGGATTCCAGCTTTTACCAATCCTCTTTATTTTTATGATCAGAGGTTTGACCTTTGGCTTTGGGGTAGTTGCGTGGGTCTACATTATTAGTTTGATGTCATTATTTGACGTTCACACTGCGTACCGCTTTGGTTCCGGATACGCTATAGGAGTGGTGATTGTTCATGGTGCTACGTACTTAACCGATTTTGACCAAGATTTACAAGATATCAATCTGAATGAATTGACCAATATTATCATGACAATGATACTGTATGTGGTCTTAAGTATTATAACTGGTTTTATGATTGGCGGTGGTGGTCGGACCGGTGTATGTGTAGCACTTTGCTTTATGGTTCATCCACTACAAGAAGAATTACCACATGAAAACATAACTGAGAGGTTCATTAATATAGTACAAAATGCATCTTTAGAATTGTTGCTTTCCGTAATAGGACTTTTTTCGCTTCTAATATTCAGGTATGTTCACGTTAAATATTTGCAGTTGAGCTGGATGAATCGTGTATTTGTAACATTAATTGTTATTTTTAAAGTATTTCTTGGAATGCTATACATGGAAGCGTATTCCTTACGGCTACTCATGTATTTTATTACCGCAGTAAGTATCATATTGATGTGTGCAGGAAATTTTATTGGAAGGAAATGTTCTGCATATTGGTACATACCTGAAAGCTATATTATCAAGAAAACAATCGGTTTTATTTTCGGAATATGCATGGCAAGAATTGTAGGATGGGAATTCGTAGACTTAAGAGTTCTCAATTTAGCCGACTATCAACAGACATCGATCCAACCTCATTTGTTCTCTGCGTTGTTATTTATCGTCCCATTATTATTATTCATTGTGTATGAATGTTCAGCTTACCTGAAAGTCAGGCATACTCTTTTACCGCTAAAGCATATCTGCCAATCTATGAAGGCAAATATTCGTGAAGAATCATATTTGGATGCTAGACTCAGCTTATGGGATTTTGCAGGACAAGAGATGTACTATAATACACATCATCTGTTCATGCCAAAGCAGGGTGTATATCTGGTTGTTTTTAATGCCGTTGAAGCGGTTATAAATCCTGCAAAGCAACTCAAACGGCTACATTTCTGGTTGCAATCAATTGCTATGCACGCAGAAGTTGAGAATGTGGTAGTCCTGCTTATAGGAACAAGAAGAGAAAGTGTTCGTGACATGAATGCTCTATCGGATTTCTCAAGATTAGCAAAATCACATCTTTACAAACGTTTCTCTAAGTTGATCACGTTTCATCCAATTGGAAGTATTTTCTTTTACGTTGAAAACGCACTGAGCACAGACAAAGAAATTCACACTATACGAGAAGTAATCTACAACGAGATTAAAAATATGACGTATTTTCAAAATTATTTTTCAGTAAGATATCTTTTATTCAATGAAACATTGAATAGATTTCGGCAACAAAATTCCTTTATAACGAGGCTGGATATCATTTTTGAGGAAGCAAAATCCACTTGTAACATCATGACAGAGGATGAGTTGCGTCAGTTCCTAATTTTTTTCAACAGATCTGGTGATATCATATACAAAGAAGGAGATGAAATGCTTCGAAACTACGTCATATGTGAGCCTCAGAGGCTGGTTGATATTTTGCAACACTTGGTGAATGTACCTGAACCTCACAATAGAAATCGGGCAGTAGCTGACTACTGGCAGAGACTGCAAGACACAGGAATCGTTGACAGCCGTTTACTCGAGCATATCTGTCGCGAGCAGGGAATTTGGAGACTGTACCCTTATGTTATTCGTTTCTTAGTGGGAACAAATCTACTTTTTCCTCTTTTTATAACAGATGAAATCGATCAAGTGGGCATATTTTGTCTTTTGTGTCGACTGCCAAAGATTACAATGATGTCAACTATCTGGAACAGTAAGGACAAGTCGCAAGATATATTTTATTTTGACTTTGGGGAAATTCCTACCGAATTGATATTTCTACGTCTTATCGCTAAATGTTGTAAAGAGTTTAATTTCGATAACATTTACTATAATGCGGCACGATTCAGAACCAGTAAATTATGTTTATTTGTAATCAATATGCAAGTCATAGTTGGAGCCTGGGATTCATACGACCGAAATCTTATCAAATTATCTATACTTAATGAAGACGAAGCCCAAGTAATAAATGTCTTACAGAAAATGATTACTTTTACTGAGGAGATAATCAATCGAGATTTTAATCCAAAATACTTTAAGGAAAATTATATTTTTGGGCCTGTCTGTGGAAGATGTAGTACTTTAGATGATACAATGTGTTTGGTGAACATCATAACGCATGGCAACGACGTCAATATGTTTGATTGCTACCGACCAGATCATTACCATAGGGTTTCATTTGAGCCAAAGGTACGATTTGACAAATAGTGCTTTTATCTAAGTAACCATAAAAGATTGATCTTTTTATTAATGTGTAATCATTTTCGTAATTTGTCAATTTATTGTCAAATCCTCAGTCAGGGTCCTCAGTTCGCCTTGACATTATGTGATGGATAGAATTTGGAATTAGCCTATGAAATAAATTATCTCGGCAGTACTATTGTTTTACTAACGATCTGCATTTTTGTTTCTTTTACAGTTCAATCTAGCTTGTAGCCGTTAGATAAGCAAACAAGTCTCAACCAGTGGCGAAGAAAAGTTTTGATTGGCGTGTTAGCCAGTGTCGTAACAGGCGCGGGGGGGGGGGGGGGGGGGGGGGGGGACAGGGGGAAACTTCCCCTCCCCTGACGGTTTTTACCGAGCTGACCAAGTCCCGTCGTACCGGGCTGGGTAATAAGAGAAAAGAAAGAGGGGAGAGAGAGGGAAAGAGAAAGAAGAAAAAAAGAAAAGGAAAGAAAAAGAAAAAGAGATGAGAAAAAAAAGACAAGAATAGAGAGGAAGATATCATAATGACCAGACTCACAACACCCTGCAACCCCTTCTCCACTTCAAAAACTGTCATAACTCATTTAATCTATGCTGCCCAATGGCTTAACCACTGGGGACAAGGGGAAAATATCTATCTTTGAGAAATCTTCCCCACCTCTTTATAGATGCCCTTTTCATCCCCTGAAAGTGCCTAAAAACATCAAATTTCTTGTTGGCATGAGCCAATTTCCTCTTAAAATTGCACATTTTAGGGAGTTTTGATCAATTCCAACGAAATTGGAATTAAAAACACCGGGGGACAAGGTAACAATATCCATCTTTGGAAAATCTTTCCCCACCCCTTGACAAATGCATCCTCTGAAAGTGCCTAAAATTTTCAAATTCTTTGCTCGTATTTCTTGTTACGGTAGGCCAATTTCCTCTATAAATTGCACATTTTAGGTAGTTTTCATCAATTCCGACGAAATTAGAATTAAAAACACAAAAGTATTTTGCGCGCTTCGCGCGCATTTTTTAGGGCTTTTTTTAGGATTATCCTTTTAAATTATTTAAACACATAGGCCTAATAATAGTCCCAAACTCAAGAAAGACAAATTTAAGATCGTTTTAACCTAAAAGAAGGGCCTCAATATGTACTGATGGTGAAAGAATATGTTTGTAATAAATAAAACCATGATGAAAATGCTTATATTTAGTTTCAAACACACGTGTGTGGCCTATATTATAAATATGATAAGCCGTACCGTATGTCGTATTGTTTTCTATATGGGGAGTGGGGTGGGGTTGGGTTAGGTATGGTAATTTACTAACCGGGAAAATAACTACCGTACCCACTCTGACCCAAAAGACCCCTGTTACGCGCCTGGTGTTGGTGCCAATGTGTGCCCTTGTGCGGACAAGGGATGTGCCCCCCCCCCCACCTCTGAAGCTGGAATTCTTGTTTTTGTAAAATAAATTGATGCAATTTGCTATTATTGGCCTAATCAATGAATTCCTCATTATCCGATATATCCTTAACATTCTTGGAATTGACATAATATTACTGATGTCGTACACACCCTTGAGTGTGAAATGTGGCTTTCTTTGCAAGCACATCTAACATCTAAGGAAAGAAGAGCTTAGATTGGTACCAGATAAAATAATTTTGTTATCAACATTAATAAATTATGCTTATTTTCATCTTTGTAAGCGCATAAGACAGTGCAAATTATTTCTGTGACAGTCTTTATGTGTGTAAAACTCCATTTTATCCCATACATAGTCAAAATATTGGGGGGGGGGGATGATACAATGGACCATCCCCCCCTTGTCAAATATTGAGGGGATATATCCCCCATCCCCCCGGGATCTACGCCTATGGTCTCAACTGATGTTTGTAACAGTCCAAGAACATCACAGATTCAATGTAAACTTTATCATTAAGATTTTAGATAAAATTTGAGCTGAAAAAAATCACCACATCTAGCTACGTTTAGACTTAGAACATGCTGTAGGCTGCTTCAGTCACAGTCTGTTGTTACAGGGATTTCGGTCCCAATCGAATTATTTCTCCCCTCTGATCCTAACGTACATAGTAAATTTAGGGTGCTCTCCTGGTCAAATTCCTTAACAAGTGATGGCCGAAATACAGCAATAGAGTTATCGAATAGCTTTCTTTCTGTAACTGAATATATATTCTATAACTATTTCATGAAGGACTATAAAACATAGTTAAGCGATCTTTAATTGATTGATGACTGGTATTCACGTACACTTTATAATAACGGACGTTGTAGGCCTATATCGTATATAATAGCTAAGTGGTTAAGATGCTTGCCTTCTTATCCCAGGGTGTTTCTGTAGTAATGGAGATCTGCGATTAGAATGCAAACCTCTTAACCCCTAGCTATTACATTCCACTTATGAACAATTGTAAAGCAGGCATAACTCCTTTATTTACATGGGAATACTTGAAGGAAATAAATACCGGTACATAACCAAGGGTCTTTGTTTTATAAACACCCAATCTAAGTGTCTACAGAGTGAAGACAAAGATCCCAAAAACGAAAACCGTAAAAATAACTCATTAACATTGTAAATCACCGCTACAATGAGGGAGATAGGTTTCGCTTCGTGCCTGGTAGAAGTTATTATTCTACTTAGAATGTATTAAGTATATTGAATTGATTTTTTCTAAACTTTCTCAGAAACGTGTAAGTTACGATCTATACAACCACAGTTATAGAAGTATCAGTTTCGTTTGTTCGTTAGACCAGGATTGCTACACAATATACATATTAACCTACAGTATATAAGTAGGTATGTTTGCATTTCAATCCATAACGTCCATGGATAATACTTACTGTACATGGTTCAACTAAATGCTGGCCAAGTTTGCATGACGATAAGTGGATATACCCAATACAATTGTTTGCACTTTAACCTCTGCATAACAATTGTGGTAGTTTAACACATTGTGTGTGTTTTCTTTACTTCGAGTGATAACAGCTTTGTGTAGTGCTGGTCTGAAAATATCTATTTCAAATGGTGTATGCATTAGTGACGAAAACTACGATTTAAATTTAGCCATCAAATGCAAATTTGCGTCTGACCATCGACCTGACCATGGATAATAATATTATCATTGTACATGGTACAATTGACACAAATGCTGAAAAAATGGTGTTAAAACAAATCTTTTTGATTACACGTTGTATTGACATAACGCGTCAACTCCAACTTGCGTGACGAAGAGTGGATTACATCCAATACAATTTTTTGCACTTTCACCTATAACATTGTGGCAAGTGATATTTGTTGTCTTTGTTGTCAGTGGTAGCGCTGTCACATAAGAATCTGAAGCGGAGAATACTTGTCTTTGTTATGATAATTTATGATCCTACTTCTATAACAGATTTGTGTAGTACTGGGCTGAAAATAGGAATTTTGATGTGTGTATACGTTAGTGGCGAAAACTACGATTCAAAGTTAGCCGCCAAATACACATTTTCGCCTAACTATCGCCTAAGAAGTCTACTACAGAACCAGTGTATAACGATGAGGATGAAGACCTGTGATATAGTGACCTATTCATTTCAATACTGCAACAGATGAGGGTGATTTTTACGGTATTTTGTATTATTGTTAAATTGTTACATGTATAAAGACATAGTTTGCAATAAGAAGTAAAGGACTACTAGAATTCACTGATTCTAATAAAATTAGAAAAAATTACTATCGTCTACTAAAAAAAAGTGATATGGCAGGCTATTGTTTGATATTGTTTTTCTGTGAAGGAGCCCTTTGGCAACTTCTGATTACTGACATGAAGGGTCCCAGAAACTTTCTCGCCCCGAGCCCTCTGATTTATCATTACAGCAAACCTTGCAGTGAATTAGTATTTTGTTAAAATTAAAGATCGAAATTCAACAATTTAACATACAGTACTTATAAGTGAGATGTTTTCTTTTCATATACAGTAGACTTAAGCGGCATATATAAATCCAATGAAATATTTGGAAACAGAGTTCGATAGAAATAGCAAGTTATTATTGAGAAGATGAATACAAAAGCAGCAAGCTATCTGCGGGGCTTCTACTCATTTGAACGTAGTTTCAATTTGCGTGTACTGGTGGACGATAAAGAGATCAAAACAGCCTATGAAGAAGCAAAGATTAAAGGGAGACTTCCTTTTAACAGGTCTAAAATCCTCATTTTAGGAGATCACGCTGCAGGAAAAACATCCACATGCAGACGATTGCAAGGAAAAGATTTTCGAAAGGATGAATCTAGCACCGAAGGAATCGAAACAAATACTGTCAAAGCAAAAGTTAGTGATGTTAATAGTAAGTGGTGCGAAGTATCAAACACACCACTGGAAGATTATGAAAGTTCAGCAGCATGGTGGGCAGTATCGCACGTGCGCAAGACAACCAAGAGTGGAATGTCTAAAACTGACGAGAAACATTGGACCATCGTTGAAGATGTAATTTATCAGGGATTCCAGCTTTTACCAATCCTCTTTATTTTTATGATCAGAGGTTTGACCTTTGGCTTTGGGGTAGTTGCATGGGTCTACATTATTAGTTTGATGTCATTATTTGACGTTCACACTGCGTACCGTTTTGGTTCCGGATACGCTATAGCAATGGTGATTGTTGATGGCGCTACGTACTTAACCGATTTTGACCAAGATTTACAAGGTATCAAACTGGATGAGTTGGTAAATATTATTATAACAATGATGTTGTATGGAGTCTTTAGTATTATAACTGGTTTTATGATTGGCGGTGGTGGTCGGACCGGTGTATGTGTAGCACTTTGCTTTATGGTTCATCCACTACAAGAAGAATTACCATACAAAAACTTAACAACTGAGAGGTTCATTAAGATAGTACAAAATGCATCTTTAGAAGTGTGGCTTTCCGTGATAGGATTTTTTTCAGTTGTAATATTCAGGTATGTTCACTTTAAATATTTGCAGTTGAGCTGGATGAATCGTGTATTTGTAACATTAATTGTTATTTTCAAAGTAGCTCTTGGAATGCTATACATGGAAGCGTATTCCTTACGGTTACTCATGTATTTTATTACCGTAGTGAGTATCATATTGATGTGTGCAGGTAATTTGATTGGAAGGAAATGTTCTGCATATTGGTACATACCTGAAAGCTATATTATCAAGAAAACAATCGGTTTTATTTTCGGAATATGCATGGCAAGAATTGTAGGATGGGAATTCATAGACTTAGGAGTTCTAAATTTAGCCGACCATCAACAGACATCCATCCAACCTCATTTGTTCTCTGCATTGCTATTTATCGTCCCATTAATATTATTCATTGTGTATGAATGTTCAGCTTACCTGAAAGTCAGGCATACTCTTTCTGTACCGCTAAAGCATATCTGCCAATCCATGAAGGCAAATATTCGTGAAGAATCATATTTGGATGCTAGACTCAGCTTATGGGACTTTGCCGGACAAGATATGTACTATAATACACATCATCTGTTTATGCCAAAGCAGGGTGTATATCTGGTTGTTTTTAATGCCGTTGAAGCGGTTATAAATCCTGCAAAACAACTCAAACGACTACATTTCTGGTTGCAATCAATTGCTATGCACGCAGAAGTTGAGAATGTGGTAGTCCTGCTTATAGGAACAAGAAGAGAAAGTGTTCGTGACATGAATGCTCTATCGGATTTCTCAAGATTAGCAAAAGCACATCTTTACAAACGTTTCTCTAAGTTGATCACGTTTCATCCAATTGGAAGTATTTTCTTTTACGTTGAAAACGCACTGAGCACAGACAAAGAAATTAACACGATACGAGAAGTAATCTACAACGAGATTAAAAATATGACGTATTTTCAGACTTATTTTTCAGTAAAATATCTTTTATTCAATGAAACATTGAATAGATTTCGGCAACAAATTTCCTTTATAACGAGGCTGGATATCATTTTTGAGGAAGCAAAATCCACTTGTAACATCATGACAGAGGATGAATTGCGTCAGTTCCTAAACTTTTTCGACAGATCTGGTGATATCATATACAAAGAAGGAGATGAAATGCTTCGAAACTACGTCATATGTGAGCCTCAGAGGCTGGTTGATATTTTGCAACACTTGGTGAATGTACCTGAACCTCACAATAGAAATCGGGCAGTAGCTGACTACTGGCAGAGACTGCAAGACACAGGAATCGTTGACAGCCGTTTACTCGAGCATATCTGTCGCGAGCAGGGAATTTGGAGACTGTACCCTTATGTTATTCGTTTCTTAGTGGGAACAAATCTACTTTTCCCTCTTTTTATAACAGATGAAATCGATCAAGTGGGCATATTTTGTCTTTCGTGTCGACTGCCAAAGATTACAATGATGTCAACTATCTGGAACAGTAAGGACAAGTCGCAAGATATATTTTATTTTGACTTTGGGGAAATTCCTACCGAATTGATATTTCTACGTCTTATTGCTAAATGTTGTAAAGAGTTTAATTTCGATAACATTTACTATAATGCGGCACGATTCAGGACCAGTAAATTATGTTTATTTGTAATCAACATGCAAGTCATAGTTGGAGCCTGGAATTCATACGACCGAAATCTTATCAAAGTATCTATACTTAATGAAGACGAAGCCCAAGTAATAAATGTCTTACAAAAAATGATTACTTTTACTGAGGAGATAATTGATCGAGATTTTAATCCAAAATACTTTAAGGAAAATTATATTTTTGGGCCTGTATGTGAAAGATGTAGTTCTTTCGATGACACAATGTGTTTGGTGAACATCATAACGCATGGCAACGACGCCAATATGTTTGATTGCTACCGACCAGATCATTACCATAGGGTTTCATTTGAGCCAAAGGTACGATTTGACAAATATTGCTTTTATCTAAGTAATAATTCGATTGATCTTTTTATTAATATATGTGTAATCACAGGCCCGTAGCCAGGTCCTTCCAAGGGGGTGAGGGAGGGGGTTTCTGGGCGTGAGGTCCCGGTGGAGTCGGCAAAACCCCCAAAGCAAGAGGATTTTTATGCTTTATGGGTCTAAATATAATGCTATAAAAGCAGATATGTTTGAAAACGTCTGTATCTGGGTGGGTCTGCAGTGCATTAGTTGGGTTGGAGGACTTATTTGGGAAATATAAAGAGGGGGGTTCGCCATAAAAGAAGGGGTATGCTAGAAAAGGGGGGTTTTTCCGAACCATAACTCCCTCCCCCCTCCCCCCCCGGATACGGGCATGAGTCATTCTCGTAATTTGTCAATTCATTGTCAGGGTCAGGGTCCTCAGTTCGCCTTGACATTATGTGATGGGTGAAACTTGAAATTAGCATATGAAATAAATTATCTCGGTAATGGATATACTAACGAACTGTATTTTTGTTTCTTTTACAGCTCAATTTAACTTGTAGCCGTTAGATGAGGAAGCAAGTCAGCTAATGTTTGTAACGGTCACAGAGACAATGTAAATTTTCTTATTAAAATTCAGTGGCGGATCTAGGATTTAGAAATAAAGGGGGCCATGGAGGGACTTTGGCAGATAGTGGGTTTATATTACCTCAGCCCCACCATGGTTGGGGTTTTAAGGTAAGCAAATTTATGATTATGGCGCCTCTAGATGGCCGGAAATAGCACTCTCAAACCTATATTTGAATATATAATTTTTCTCATTTTTTTTTAATGAAGGGGGTGGGGCGGTCCGGCTTCCCCCTCCCCAATTTTGAATCCGCCACTGAGATTTTAAATAAAATGTTTATCTTTTTAACTTGAACTGCAAAAAAAAATCGTCACATACTACTAGCAACATTTACCATTTAGCACCAGGTTAATTCCTGCTTTAGTCTTGCGCCAAGTGTCACATGGACTTCCTCCGTCTGTTCCTGTGTTCGTAAATTCGGGGAACTCTCCAGGTCAAAATGCTTTAAAATAGTGATGTCCGAAATCTTTGTAAAATCGTTTGCCCAAGGAAAACGATCCCTCCAAGGGGCTGAATTTACTATGAATTTAGGTTGAACAGCTCAGGGAGAGGGATACTTTTCTGGGTTTTCGTGTGACACTGGCGTGAATACGTCAGGTGTGTAATATTAATATTATTATTACTATTGTTATTAATATTGTCATTTTTTGAGGACGATAATGATAATGACGACAATAATGACTCACGTCCATGAGTACACGAAGAAGTCGAACCTTTCGGAAAATAATTTGATCGCAATTCATTGTTCGTTTTTTTTCCCATTACATTAATTAATACAGTAATAAAGGCTCAATCAAATAACTTGTTGCTTTCTCTATAAAACCAAAATATTCTATAAATATTTCATATTAGGACTACATAGATATTAAATACATAATAATGCGATTCTTAATTTGTTTGCTGTATACTGGTATTCATGCACACGGTTGAATAGCGTTGTATCGTATACATATTTGATCAAGGACTTTCGTGTTTTGATGGAATAGATACTCTCTCTAAATAATAAATATGAAGTCTAAAGATACAATCTACGTATTTTTATTTCAGTTGTTTTCAATGAATAGTAAGCTTTCCAAGTTTCCCACACTACTCCATCATTCTCCCATGAAGTCTCCTACGAGAGAACAGAAAATATTTGGAAAAATATAACATCCTTAATTTGGCGTAAGTTCTGTGCCTACCTTTGTAAATGACACCCTACTTTAAAGGCATATCACTTCGTGAGTAGGCCCCTTTTTAAGCGAGACTGTGATAATTGAGGATAATATTATTATCTTATTCCTTACTATAGGCCTACTATTACTATGACTAACTATGGTCAATGCTGAATTCCTTTAAACTACCTTTAAAACCGTTTAAAGGAAATTTGACAAATGAACTGGTCTAGTATACTGGAAAATTACCTGCGATTTACTGTGTACTTTGACATGTTTTGAGACTTTTATATAGGCCTATGCATATTAGAAAGCAGAATTTTTTAGCAAAATCAGATTCTTTACAATTTACTACCAATCTGAAGCAACAGTAACAAATTCAAGTGTTATAAAAAGTGTTGGATTTTTAACAAGGCAGACGTTCAGTTCAAATTTGACGCGGAAGTACCAGTTTAAATCTGACAAAGATATTCAACTGCTCAGAATTGTAAAACTGGCTGAAAGTGTATTCAAAGCTTGAATAAGTTGAATATAGTAAATAAATAATAGTGTAGGTCTACATATTTTGACAATTTACGTGTTTCAAAGGCTTAGCTATTTAATCGATTTTAGAGTCTACTAATATGTGCAAAATACATAATTTTTTTCTCCCCAACGAATTGTGGTTTTTCTCCCAGACGGGGAGGGGAGTTGGCCCCTTGACCTCCGCCCCCCGCTGGTGCCACCCCTGCAGTGGCGGATCTAGCATTTAGCAATTTAGCTATTCATCCCCCTCTAGATCCGCCACTGCCCTGCGCTGTAGTTACCAATTATCAGTTTTTTGTTTGCTTATCACCAATTCGAAAGCTGTTGTAGTGAGTGTACATCTACTCCTATTCGAATGATGACATGTCAACATTTAATTCGTTGATGAAATCCGAAGATGAAAGCCGATAAAATTTATCATTGCCAAGCCAGTGCTCACTATAGATGTTCCCAAACCCGGATTTTTATGCCGACCAATCTCTATTGAAGTTTAGTGATCCATCTTTCAGCCTTCGGAATAATTAGAACGTGAAAAAAAACAAAACAAACATTACTTCGGTGCAGTCAAATCTTACACAATCCTAATCGGTTCAGAGAATGATTGAATAGAATTAGATTATGAAAAGCCAAATTATTATTTTTTAATAAATCATCGAATTGAGCTGCATACGATCAAGGATTATAGTATCGTTTGGAATTCCGATTTTATTGCGCTGATTCATTGGATTTTTACATTCCAACTCGCTTTCGCGGAAACGGCTACGAAAGGTGGTGAGACGGGACGGGACACTTGAAAGAAAGAAAAATTAACAAGTGCGTCCTGCCAGTGGCAGATCCAGGGGTGTCAAAGAGGTGTTTGCATATACTACTTAATAGTTCAATTGCTTCAGAGGTTTGTTTGTTTGTTTGGTTTTTTTTTTAATGAATTCTGGTGAAATGTCAAATCTGCTGTATTCAGTAGTTAGACCTTTTGACAAAAAGAGAAGCATGTCTAAACGAAAATATCAATTCTGCATGCGGGGCACCATTTGTAACATCGTAATTTATATTATAATAATTGCATTCTGTAAGTATAGAAATACCACAGAATTATGTTTAATAACTATTCTGTACATGAGTAGTACTGTGTTAATTTTAGAATGCCTTCTCATGTAACTTTGTCGGATATATATTAATTTTGATTTAGTCCAATTAAAAATAAGATTTAATTATTAGTAGTGACGACAGTAGCTTATCTCAGCCAGCTAAACTGTAGCGGTTACTGTATGTGTGCTTTCTATCTTTGATGAAGGTGTTTGTGTTTGTTTGTATTGGATATAAAGCAAATTAATTACTAATAAAGGTTTACCGTCCATCCTCCACCGTCAGTATTCATATTACTACATTTGGAACGATTCACTCTCGATACCTAGAGGACGGATCATGTAGTCTCCATTACTGGCATCGTCATTGTTGTCACGGATTTCAGTGCAGTCTCGGGGATAAGCTTGCAGAAACACATTAACCAGTCAGGAGCAAAATAATACAATTTAAGTAATTTAATTGCTAAACTAATGAATGTGGTTTTATCAGAGCAATCATTACTGTACCTTGTGGATAAGTACAACTGTGATGGCTAATGGTGTTGTTACAGCAACTGGAATTGGCACAGCAACTGCTTCCTTTTGTGCTTGCCTCCTGACTATGTGACAGCAAGAGAATCACGAACATTGTCACTGTAAAGGTGCACATTGTTTTTTTACTGGTGTGATCTGTGGTATATACGGCAGAGAATCAATGATAATATCAACTCTCACAATATACTATTTTAATCCTAACCTTGATCCACGTCCGGTCCGAGATGGTGATATAGGTGTTATTTGATTTTCTGCACCGTTGTATTTAGCCTTCTTGAAACAGTTTCCTTCCTTCCTTCCCAGTTTCTATAGGTGGAAGCTGTAGTGTGTGGCTTATGAATAGGCCTATTAATAAAGACCTATGTATTTGCAATGTATAAATGATGTCGAGAAAACCATGTTAATATCCGACACAATTCGATCATTAGAGAATAATGTACACGTAAGAGATCAAGGCAGTAAGATCATAAACAATATTTACATAGGCTACGAAATGAGTTTTATTGCTTTTAGATATCAACTTTTTACCATTTACCAAACAGGAAAGTACTGCATTATGAAAGTAATACCTGTCGGAAAAATATTGTTCACAATTCATAATGTTTATTTTCTATTAAAATTACCATTACAGCATTAGCCATCGAATAGCTTGTTGTTTCTATCTATAACTGAAATATTCTAGAAAAGTTTCATAAAAGACTACATAAAACATAAATTATAATCCTTGTTGAATATTGATATTCATCAAGAGCGGACATTAGGTAATTCTCTGAACAACTATTGAAGTCTAAAGTTTCAATCTACGAATTTTCATCTCAGTTGTTTTCAATGAATAGTAATAACCTTTCCAATGTTTCCACACGACCCCTTTAGCGTACTGGTCGGTTTCACCCTTCAAGTACAAGCCATTCAAATTCGACGAATGACAGCTGCTGTACCACCATGCTCCTTGGTAAGCCACTGCACACGACGAACCGCCCGTATCATGATCTCTATCAGATGTTGAAAATTGTAAATTACGATGCCCACCAAGAGAATCGCCTATATATGGGAACAAAAATGGCTTAATACGCTGATAATACAATGTAATTTATAAATTATAACTATAGTCTCTTAATTATAACTATAGTCTCTTTATATATATATCCAGTGGCGTAACGCCTATGTGCTCTCATGCGGCGGTCCGCAGGGCCCCCAAATTCTAGGGGTCCCGAAGAGGCCCTACCAATAGGTTCCTTGATCTAGTACCCTGACCAAAAAGGACTTTGTTGATAAATAACACCCATAATGTGTCTCTGAAATCGACATTAGGGCTTATCATATTATAACGATAAAGCATCAGAGTTGCCAACAGTGTCACTGTGAATGTCCACATGGTTTTCACTGGCGTCTACCGTGGTATACAACAGATAATTAAATGATTTATATCAGCTCGCAATAATATCATGCCAAGCCCATCTAACAATTAGCAAGGTCCGGGAGGATATGTCTTTGCTTTCCGGTTTATGTTTTTTAGCCTTGTTGAACAGTTCAATCTTGATGTCATACATTGACCTCGAGTATTCTTTTTTCTTACCTCCATCCTTCCAATAGTAGTTGCAGTATGCGGTTTATGAATATGTGTCTCTAATATAAGTTTATATAATAATATGAATATAATATAATAATATATCAGTTGTTTACGAGAAACCCAAGTCATATACACTACACGATAACTCATTGGTCACAATATTCGATATAGAGATGTACACAATATTTTTCATGGGCTAAGAAATACGTTTTATCAACTTATGACCATTACTCGAAAAAAAGTCATACCCAGTTGCAGAACAAAAATAATGATCACCATGTATAAATACCTCAACATGGGCCACAACTGGGGGGACCTTCCCCCACCCACATATTTTGGCAGAAAATATAAAATGTCTATGTAGATTTATGTATGATCGGAAAGAAATGCAAGAAAAGAAAGCGGGAAGAAGGAGAGGGAGAAGAAAGAGAGCCTGTGTTTATCCTGTTCCCGACAGAGTTTTTCCCGACATTTTCTCGCAATTCACATTGGCGTCAGGGGTCTGGACCCCCTCCCTTGGGCAAAAACAATTTTTTTTTTAAATAAAACGAATTCTAGACCTCCTTTTCAGGACTTGTGAGCTGATTTTTTCTTTTCTCTTTTCTTTTTTTTGTGACAATAAGAAGATTATAAGACTCATTTCGAGCCATCTAGGAATTATAACATCTAGGAATTAAAATTTTCTCGACCCCCCTTACGTTTTGGGATTTATCAATTCATGGAAAAAAGAATACGTGTGCAACTACTCATTTCTTTATGAAAATTTGGCTGACCGCTTTCAAGAAAGGGAAACCTTGAATTTTAAAGAACTTAAGTCATTAAAAGACACCTCAGAAGTCGGGAAAGCTCATTTCCCGCCATCTAGGAATCAAAATTTTCACGGGGAAGGTCGGGAGGGTCGTACGACCCCCCAAAATTTTCAAATTTCTTAAGGTCCGCATTTTTTGCAAAGAAATTTTTTGCTATAGGGCCTTTTCACAATGTCATGAAATAGCATTGATGAGGTACCAACAATGAGTCCAATGACCTTGCCAATTGCGTGACATAATCCCGGGGCAGATGCAGGGGGGAAGAGGTGCGATCGCACCCCACTAAATTGTATTTAGAAAAATAATTGTTAATTGTATTATATTGTTGATATGAATTATTGGTAAGATTTTAAAGATACATGTGAGTGCAATTTCAGCAATACAGTGAGGTATCTTACTCATTAATCGATAAACTCCAAAAAATAAAGGGGTCAGGGGAACCTCCCCTTTTGGATTTTTTTTTTTTAGATGAAGGAACATGAGCTTTCTCGACTTCTGAGGTGTCTTTTAATGACTTTTAAGTTCAAAATTCAAGGTTTTCGCCACTTGAAAACGGTCAGGAAATTAAACATTCTCATTCATTACAGTAAATAGGCATATTATGTGTGTAGGCATATAGGCCTACATACAATAAAATTGAGTACTTTCATACGTATTCTTTTTCCATGAATCGATGAACCCCAAAGAGAAAGGGGGATCCGGTTCTCCCCGGGAAATTGTGATTTCTAAATGGCGGGAAATTAGCTTTCCAGACTTCCCAAATGTCTTTTAATGACTTTTTTAAGTTCTTCAAAATTAAAGGTTTTTCCCTCATGAAAACGGTCAGGTAAATTTTTCTCATTCTTATACAGTAAGTAGGCCTATTATGTGTGTACCTAATGTATAAATATATATATATAATATATCTGTATAAATACAGAAAAAAAAATTGAGTAGTTACATACGTATTCTTTTGAATGAATCGATGAACCCCAAAAAGAAAGGGGGCCCGGGTTCTCATCCCTTAAATTCTGATTCCTAGATGGTGGGAAATGAGCTTTCCCAGCTTACCATACCGAAGTTTATATCATGAGATTTAATTCAATATTTTGTCTGAATCTGCAATTTACAATTACCGGTATGTCATTATAAAAAAAAAATATATATATATAATAAATAAGTTATATATTTGTGTTTTTGTTTTTTGTTGTTGTTGTTATATTAGGGTTCTTCATTCTTAAAGCTCTTGTGTAATATTATATAATTATTTTTACAATTTGTATGGAAATAAAATTATTTGAAATTGAATTGAAACTACATTATTTTTACTGTATATCATTTATATATATTTATTTTATATATAC